GTAAGTTATCGTGAACCTGTGGATCTGAGAACAGACTCAGACCGTGTGCAGTATTACTGTGATGAGAACATCTGCTCTCTGAGAATTACAGACCTAAGAGAGAGCGACTCAGCTGAGTACAAGTTCAGGTTCATAACAAACCAACCAGGTGGAAGATTTACTGGTTCACCTGGAGTTACAGGTAACAATTTTATTTCAATATTTTTTGTTCCAAAGGATCAATATCAAGGAATCAGTGCTGTAAATGTTTGATGAAGAAAATCTAGGCTCAAAGGTCCAGTTACTAAATGAAGTTTTACTTTAATGTGAACTTTTGGTCACATGATAGGAAGTGGTCATATATTGGTGGAAGATTGTAACCTCCGTCTCACTTAATGGATGACTGTAGATGTAGGATGTGAATGGTGTCTTTGATGTTTCTCCAGACTGGTTTTGGTTTAGTGTTCAAACAGCTGATGCTCCTGTCAGCCTTCACATTAACAGAATGACAGCTTACTATCTCCTTCCTGCTCAGTGACCACTTGTTTGTTTGCTGACTGAAAACCTTCAAAATGTTGTTGAAAGGAAAATTATCTTTGAGATTAGATTCTTTTCACCAGACACCACCATACAAAAATGAAGACCGCCATCTGGTGGTACATTTAACTTATTGCAGTGTCCAATGACAGAAGAGTACTTTAAATGTGAATGACTCCACTTCCCCTTTTTTATGTTAACTCCATCTTTAAGGCAGTGAGCTCTAGACGATCAACTGCTGTCAGTAACTTAGCAACAATCCTACCTGCTCTGTATTACTGCTGTGAAAGATGTAGTTGTAACAAATATTTTCTCTCTCAGGTGTCCGTGGTCAAACCTGCAACAGAGTGACTTACACTGACAGAAGCATCTGTGCCTTCAAAGGCTCATCAGTGGACATTTCTTGTACTTACAACAGTTATTACACATATATCAGATCTAGATTCTGGTTCAGTCCTGAACGTAGTCTTCAGTGGCAGAATACCTCACAGCCTGAGGACCTTAGTGAAGACTCCCAGTATGCAGGTCATGTTCAGGTCCTTGAAACAGAGAGAGGACGCTCCACTCTGAGAATCACTGACCTGAGAGAGAGCGACTCAGCTGAGTATCACTTCAAGTTCACAGCAGGAAGCTTTGAATGGAGGAGTAGTTTACCTGGTACAACTCTGACTGTCACAGGTACTGATGAACAGAATCTGATATTCACAGCAACACAGTTTAATACAAATTTATTTTACCACTTTTTAATAAAGTACCCTTAAAGGGTTTATAGGCTGTAACTAATGGCTTTATTAATGATTTAAAAAATCCTTTATGAATGTTTTGTAGATAAGAGATTGACCATTAATACAATAATGGGGGTTGCCAGGCTTTCCATTGACTCAACCAATTACATATCAAGTGCCGTGGTGGAGGAGGATAAACATCAGTTATGGATGGCTTGTAACTGAGCCATACAGTGTTAATTTATAAACCTCTAAGGACTACATTATCATCAAGTGGTTTTCGGGATAAATCCTTTTAGTTACTGATGTCTCAAAGTATTTCACTTATAATTGTAAAGATGATCATACATTTGTTTATACTGTTGACCAGTGACACTGTGGGTTCTTCCTCACATATCCAGCTCTGCAGGTGCAGGTGACCAGAGTAATAGTCAATCAGTCTGACATCTATGCAGAGCTGAAGTGTCACAGCAGCTGCAGTCCAGCTGGTCATCTTTCCTACGTCTGGTTCAAGAACAGACAGCAAATCATGAAGGAGGAAAGTTCTTCTTCTAAAGTCTGGTTTTATCCTGGAGACATCATCTCTTGTGCTTTGAAAGGACATGAGAATTACAGCTCTTCCTCAGTGTGTGAGTTTGCCCTTAATTTGTAACCAATAAAATATTTCTATCCAACATAACAATATTGGCTGCCCATGAAGGAACTGACCTCCAATACTCACTTTGCGTCTAATATTTACTTCAGCTTTTAAACAGTTTTCTTCCAGATACTCCAAAGCTTCCCTCTGTGTCAGCGAGTCCTTCTGGTGAAATGATGGAGAACAGTTCAGATGATAACTATTAGTAGGGAAGAAATGATACATTTACCATCTGTTGTCGACCACAATGGTCAAATGCATTTTGAACTGGATCTAATGTTCGTTGGGTCCATATCAGATTCACCAGAGGTATGTTTCTGATCGGGTTCAACAATTTAGACCTGTGAAGACCTTGACTCAGTAGCTGGATATATGGAAATACGTTTATAGCCATGAATAATTTATGTCCCAAAATAAAATATATTTATTTAAGAACAAGTTTTTTTTTCCTTCAGATTATCACTTTGTGAGGCCTAAACATCCTGTGACAGCATAATTAATTTGTCATTTTCTCACCACTAACTAGGAGAATGGAAATCAGTAGCCGTTGGGACACCCACTGCTGTTGTCCTGGCTGTCATACTCCTCTCTGTCTTTTTACTGATTAGGTAAGAAGTTTGTTTTCATCAAATCGTTGTTTATTGAAATCAAATTATGGAGTATCACAACTTGGATATTTTAAAAAAATGTTGGCTATGAATTCAGTCAACATTGTAGTTACAAAGAAATTTCAAAACACTGGGGACAGTGTTACAACTTAGTCGTACGAGGAAAGAAACGAGATTGGACAGGAAATAGCCAATAGTTTAGCCAGATTCTCTAAACCAGTTTTGGAGGTTAAACTGAAATTGAACACCCCCTAAATGTCAGTGAAATCCCTAACTGAGTAAACAGACAACTATGGTAGGTACAGTAGTTGAAACAGGAAGTCACTCTGTAATCTGTGATGGATGTTTTGTTAGTTGATGAAATTCTTTACATCCTGAAACCAAGTCAAATGCTGTGATTTGCTGTCACAGGACTGTAATAAGCACGGCCAATCATTTCATTTGGACTGAAATGTAGAGGATGGAAAAGTATAATGGCCAAAAACAAACAAATTAGACCTATTAGACCTTACCTTTCATTAAATCATTAAAAAAAAAAAAAGAAAAAGTTTTTCAAAGGTGAATTATTCATTATTTTTTAAACTCTCCTAACCAGGAAAAAAAGGTCCACTAAACAACTGTCTGAGCATGAAGAGAGACCAGACAGCAGGATTCAGGTGAGGAAGAAGAGTTAAACAATTCCAATGCAAACAAAAACCCAGTCTGTTGTTGAAACAATGTTCCAGTTTGTTATAATAATCTGCAGGACACCCATTTAACAGTTTTCACAGGAACAGCGTCTTCGAGAGAAAGTCATTTTGATAAAAACCGAAAGCAAAGAGCTCTGAGCAGAGCTCTATTTGGATGGACCAACTGTCCTGAATATCTTGTAATCTGAATTCAGTTTATCTCGCATACCGTAGTACCCAGACGGACAGAAGAAACGTGACCAGAAAGAGAAAACACCCTTTTCCCCATTCACCACATAAGCAACTCAAAAAATAATTAAAATTTTTTTAAAGAGCATCTTCACCTGCTCCCTTTGGACCTGGCTTGAGCCTGGCTAGGGAGGGGAGGTGCAGGTGAATGGTGATTAGTTGGCCTGCACCTGTGGGGCCAAGTCGGGCTTAGCTCACTCAAGATTGGGTTGCTGCCATCTACTCACCACCTGCAACAATATAATCTGGTGTGTTGCCAGCCACATGCCTATGGCAAGCTGTTTTAACATTCATTCCTTAAAACTTACTAGTTGCTATTTAAAAGCTACTTAATTTATTAGTTACTAGTAACTATTCCTGTTTTACTAGTAACAATTCATCAGATACTACTTAATTTTTAGTTACTCGTGCTTATGTTTTAGTTTTATTCATTAGTTACTAGAAACTGTTACAAAATATACTAGTAACATTTGAATTCTTACTAGTGTATTTTCTTTGGTCACTAGTGATTCATTAATGACAAGTGAAATGGCTTGTTGATAGTAACAGCTGTCAGCTATAATCCTTGTGAAAACCGATAGAAAAGCTATGTCTTAAAGTCAAGCACCTTCCCAGCAGAGTTGGACTCTGGCCATGATTGTGCCTTGTCACTGATTCTGTATATGATTTTTTGTACATGTACAGAATCTTTAGGCAGAACAAGTCAGATCTGTTGGCATCATCAGGATGTGACCTAGAGCACTAGAGCCGCAAGTAGTCCCAGGATGCATTGACAGTGTAAAGCAGCTGGGATTAGGCTCAGCACCTCCAAGTTACACCTTTCATTTTGGAAGCCATTTGCAGCCTTAACTGAAATAGTTTTAAGTATTTATCTTATTTATGATTATGGGTATGGGAGTGTGAGATTGACAGGCTGATCGGTGTGGTGTCAGTGGATATGTAGACACTGTAGACTGAACTGTGTTGGTGATGTGCTATTACCAACACAGTCCAGTCTGTAGGAGAGCCAGCAGTGAGCAATGAAATACAGATTGATCATAGGCAAAAAGATCCACAACCCAAGATTGCCACTTTGTCCTTTCACTTTTGACTGTGAAAATATTGTATTATTTTTCTAAATACATAACAAGTTCAACATGTTAACTTCACATGATCCGTAAGTGTCAAGGATGTGGATTTCAATTACAGTAAACTCTCAATCTCTGTCCTCAGAGACAGCAAGAGGAGCAGGAAGACCGTCATTATTCCAGTGTCCTGTTCCCCAAAAACCAGGCCGATCCTCTCTACTCCAACATCAGACCAGCTCAGCCCCACAGACATGACGAAGAGGAGGGTGCTCAAATTTAATAATGGCAGCGCTGCCCCGAGGTGAGCAGCTACTCTCAAAGAAACATTATCCTGATTTAAATATTAAAACAACATTAGCTTGGAATAGTTAGTTAAATATTTTACAATTTCATCCCTATTGCACTTGCATATTGAATTCCCTAATTAATCTCTCCCTTTAAAAGTCAGAAGTCAGCCTGGGAGGATTCAGAAGCATTGTACAGAACAATCAACTAACTTGCTGAACACAAAGGGAATCTTCAGCCTGGTATATATCTTAAGTAGTTTGTTTATTCATGCAGAAAACCGCTGATTTTATATATTTCTTAGGACAGACCAATCAAAGAGAATGCAAATTGACAGACTTAAACAGAACCTAAGAAGTTTGCTTTAAATCATTTATCAATTAATTTCCTTTTCTTATTGTTAATCATTCTCTAAAAGCTATAAACCCTTTGAGGAGGCTGTTTAGTGTGCTTTTATTACTCTTTTTGCTGCCAGTGGTATTTAGTTCCTCATTCTTAATATATCATTACGGTAGAGAACAACTTTACACTTACGTTTCTATAACTAGCTCCACTTACAGTTCTTATTTCCACAGTGAAAACACAACTTGTTGAATGTCTTTACTGTACAGGCTGGGTTAAAATAATCATGAACTCAGTGATTTTTTAACCATCTTTGGGCAGAGGAGACTGGTGCACAGTTGCTGCTCAGACACCTCTATAGCCTGCAGGCGTTGACAGATAGTTCATCTGCAGTATCTTGGAGGCTCTTGCATTTCGCTTGCAGGCTGGGATTGCTGGAGCACTCTGCAGACAAAGGCCAGCGTTCCACCCAGGTGTCCTTTCCTAACATGTAGATGAATCTGACAGACAGGGAGCATAACGCATGTAAAGTCAGAACCCCCAGCAGTATGTAAACTTGACCTCCAAGAGGTGCCTACCCTTTTTTTTCTTGCTCTCCTTACCTGTTTGTGTCGGTGTCAGTGTTCCACTGGTCGTCTTTGGGGCCGATGATGAGGTACTGGGAGCCCTGCTTCAGGTTGAGTTCATCTCTGCAGCCTCCATGAGACATGAAAATCCTCTTCTGGCCCACTTCAATACCATCCTCCACACCTAGATGGAAGGAGAAAGATTCAGATAATACATGGCTGCACATTACTAGATAACAGAGCCTCAAATCATGTATGAATATGGGTCCATCTAATAAATTTTGATAACATACTTGGACGTTATAATCCTATTTATTAGGAAATTCTTCATTGTGATCCCTACATCTTACTTGTCATATCCTACTACTGGGGTTTTTATTAGCGCACAATCCTTTCTTTCAAAAAAGAGCTGATGACCATAAAACACAGACACAGCAATGACTTACCCAGCTTGATAACTTGTGTGATCTCCATCTCATATTTGTCGTAGTAACTCTGGCTGACACTCAGCACCTTCACCTGGAAAACTGAAGCACAAGAAAAAAGGTGTTATCTTTGCCGTGTTCTTAATGATGTAATTTATGAATTATGTAATTGAATTTTACATACTATATATACACTGTATAATGAACGGGTATGTCAGTGTCAGCCTAATAATAAACGCAGCAAGTAATAATCATTATTAATCCTACTATACATTTTAAGGATTTGACTGGCAATTACTCGAGACTTTCTGACCAACTTTTAAACTTAACCACAGTTCAGCTGTGTGCATGTGAGCATGTTAAAGCTGTGAGTGTGTGACACCGTACTGTACCGTGGTGTAAAGACTTGCAGGCAAACGTCTCTCTTTCTTTGTTGGGGAAGTTTTCACCGTCGGTTTTGGAGACACAGCAGTCTCCTGGAGATTGTGAGCGCACAGAAAGTAACGAGGTTGAAAATGACTGACAACATAAATACAAACATGTCCACCAGTGCACTGTTTTCGCAACATGCGCACTTTACCCTGCGTGCAGCGGCAGACGTTGTCCCTACAGATCCGTGTGAGCTGCTCTGTGTCCTCCCTGGGAGTGTAGGTACGACTGCAGCGGTGATCTGTGACAGAGAGAGAGCAAGGAACCCCTGTCAACATCATATATGTCTAACTAATTTGTTTGTCTCAGGCTGGGCTTTCACTGTTTGTAGGCCTATGTCTCATAATGACGTAGTCTGCAGTGAATCTTGACCAGCTGAGAGGGAGGAAGGTGGGACTAAAGGCGATCCACAATGACACTGTTCTATTAGGTGTTATGCAGCATTTCCAGTAATATCAAATTTTTATTTGTAAACATAAAATGCAGTAAAAAGCTGTGATGGTCAGGGTGTGTTCTCATACCTGGGCTGTAATACTCATAGACAGTAACGGTGGATGGCTGGAGGAGGCCGACCTTAAAGTTCTGCTGAAGCCTGAACACCAGGATCTCTGGCTCTTTGTGAGACACCTGAGAAGAGGATGGGGGAGGATAATTTATTACAACAGAAAAGGGAAGCAGAAACATTACACAGCCAGTGAGTACATTCATCTAGTAAGCCTGAGCTCCAGAGTACGGGGTCCTGTTTCAAGAAGATGATTCATGTAATTATCTGTGTAACAGCGGAGTAAAACTTGGAATCTCTTCAATATATTGTAAAAACACTTATTTTAATATAGACATATATAGTCGGGAGGGGGGAAAAAATCGATACAGCATAATATCGTGATATTTGCAATGGCAATACTGTATCGATGCACGGACGCCAAGTATCGATATTTTATTATATAAATTGCAGATGGGAGGAACTTTTTGGTACTAGAATAATAAAATCTATTGATTTTTTTAGTCCACTAGAAATCTTAACAGGACCATATAGAGGACTGAAAAAGTGATATGAACAAACAGAGAAATGTATCTTTTTAGATAAACAGATGTTGACAAAGTTTGACTTTAGGGACCTAATTGGAAGTTGGAAAAACGTAATAAATTGCAATATATTTAAAATCGCAATTGAATCGCAACACAAATATCGTGATAATATCGTATCGTGGGGCCTCTGGTGATTCCCACCCCTAATATATAGATGCAAAAACAGCTTAAAGAGACCAGTTTTTCACGAAATGACGACTCTAAACTTTACAGAATCAATGACATGAAGCAGCAAGTCAAACTCATGGTTGCAAACAAGCAAATCTGACTGTGTTACCTTGAACAGATGGATGATCAGGGAGCCTCTGTCACTCAGGTTATCAACAATCTGGAAGTTATTGATGTAACGGTCCACAGAGTTTGACAACTAAACAAACACACACATGCAGAATCAGTTAACAACCCTAACATGTGAACAGTCTCATCTGAGCTATCACACATCATTTTCACAATGTACTAAACTTTTATAAACTTCTATCTGAGTGGGATTGATTAGGACCCCGGTTTCACTGACTAGTATCCCAAAACATTTTATAGTGATTCTCTCTTTTTTTCTGTCCAGCATTTGAAAAAAAGGTTTTTATATAGATTAAGTTAATTGTTCTTAGAATCCATATTAATTTCAATCTGGTTGGGTCTTTCATATGTTTAACTACTTTAAATTATTACTTCAGGTGTTTTCCAAAATAAAAGCAAAAGCATTGTCAGTAAAACTATTAAGCATTCTCTTGAGATTTTAAACCTTTAAAATAATTTTCTATAAATGGAAATTAAATTTTTTTTAGCACTAATAGTAGAGGCTGATTACCATCTCTAGGTCTGAGTTTTCTGGGGTGAAGCCAGTGGGCAGACTTATATCCAGAACCACCATCCTGACATCTCTGGGTCCTAAAGCCCTGTGGGATTAGAAAGAGACCAGCACTGACAAAAAATACTAAACCTGAGAGAATATCAACAGAAAGCCAGTCTCCCACTTAATTATCTATAGAACTGAAGGAGAACACTGATAAAATTTTTCGAGCGTGTGAGCGGCATCATATATATCAACCTGAGTAATTTTGCAGTTAGAGACAGGTAATTCTATCAAGTGTGTCATCCAACATGAAAGATGAAGGCACCACTTATGCCAATCACTGGCTAAATACATCATCACACAATTGGACCCGAGATTAAACTTTGCCTCAACTTGAGCCTCAGAACATTTTTAGTCTTTTATTTCCTTTCATCAACTTTAATAAAAGTTAAAAAAGTTTAAACTTTCATTTAAAACAATAACTCACCTCACTTTGATGGTCATCTGATAGGATTTTTCTACATCTGCTGGAGTTTTTTCTGTTTTAAGGCAGAAACACAGCATTATTTTATGTAAAGTGGGTTGGGGTGCTGTGGAGTGTATATAATTATTTTATTTAGTTCTGCTACAGTTTGTATGTTATTTTTCTCTTAATAACACTTTATCATTTCTAGAAGTTAATTGAAGATGTGATATGTTAAAAATGTCCTGGCAGTTCCATTAAGAAACATTTATCATTATGTTCTGCTACCATGTTGTTATCATTCCATGTTTTTTTTACAATATATCAAGAAAAAACAACAATCTAGGAGATTTTGATTTGCTGAAATGGATTTCATCCCTCTATGGCACTAAATGTGACTTCACATGACCTACAGTAAAGGACATAAAACACTGAAGAGCAAGACATCATGGATCATGTACGAGAACTCGAGTTACCGCTGGATTCTTCAATAGTGACGTTGAGCTCAAAGTGCTTGCAGGGCATTTTCTCATCAACATCATGTAGCTGGTTGTAATAGGTCACAACCTTGAGTCCGAGTGGACAAAACATGCAAAACAAAAGACAGACACGAGAGGAAAAAAAACATTATGGTCACATAAAAGCCTCACTTAGGAACAAAATCCTGCTGTATGTCTGAAACGGAATGATCCCAATCTCCGGTCATGTGATCTGATTTAATTTATGTACCATATCTGTATATGTATGTGTACATTTTTTTAAGAAAAATTATGTTAAACAAAATAAGTCATCGTACCTCCAGTATGCCCTGTCCATTTCCTCGAGCCTCCACTTCCAAATCAAGATTAGCAGGCAACTACAGAAAAGCACCAGAGAAGAAGACATTTTTGGCCAAATACACTCCCTGATGTTGCTCTTGCATCCAGTATTGCTCTCAAATCCCCAAATGTCTAAGCTCACTGATAAAACTATAAAACTGAGCTGTGCTGATTTTCGTGACATCATGTGAGAAACATTATGACACACTCCCAGTGTCTCCTACTGATTAACTCGGCTGGATGTTACATTCAGTTTCAAGTCTCTCACTTTGGAGGAACGAGC